TCGCTGGCCAGGGGGGCCAGCAGGGCATTGACCTCTCCCTGCGTGTACGCGTCGCAGGCCAGGCTCAGCGTGAAGTTGTCGTTCTCGAGGGTGACGCTCAGGGGCGCATTGAAGTGCCACTTGCGGATGGTGTTGGTGCCCAACAGGAGGTCCCAGGTCGTCTGCCCGGGCCACGCCTGGGCGTTGGCGAGGTTCGTGCCCCCGCCGGTGGTGAGCGCAGCCAGCGCCGAGTTGAGCGCGTCGATGGCAGACTGCAGGCTTGTCTCGGAAGCGGAGAGGTCCGCCGCCGTCGCAAAAGGCCCCGCTGCCTGCAGCACCGCCAGGGCCGCCTCGGCGGCGTCGAGCCTCCCGTCTCGGATGGCCATGCTGCACGAAAGGAAGAAGGGCCGTAGCGATGAGCTGCGAGACATCCGCGGGCGTGGTGCGCAGGGCCACTGTGCTGCTGAGGTCGGTGGTTGTGGGCCGGTCCAAAAGAGCCGTCGCTATTTTCTGGTCGACGTCAGCGGCTGTTTGCCGGGCCGCCACGTCGAGGGCCAGCTGGTCCTGCGTGCTCTTCAGCCCATAGGTGGCTGCGACCTGCGCAAGTACTGCGTTGTCGGCACTGGTGATGGCGCTGTTCATGGAAGCGTTAGTGGGATGGTTGGCGAGCTTCAGGTCCACGAAGGCGGGCGTGCTCTTGGAGTTGACGTCCAGCTGCAGCGCGTCCAGTGCGCTTTGGTTCGCTTTCCCCGCGAGCCCCGTGGTGAGGCTGCTGCTGAGGGTGGTTATGGAAGACTGGTTGGCAGCGATGAGGCCCTCGGCGGCTGCCAAATCGGCTGCCAGCGCATAGGGCGCGAGGTCAGGAGGCGGTGGGGTGGCGGCCACCTGTGTCTGCAGCGCGGCCACGGCGGCCGAGTTGGTCCCAATGGAGGCGGTGTTGGCGGCCGTGTCCGTGAGGGGCGTATAGGCCGTCAGGACCGTGGCCAATTGCCCTGCAGAGATGCCCTGCATCTCGATGGTGGTGATGGGGGTCTGGCCATCGTTGAGGATGTTCCCGGTGATGGTCGACTCGAAAAGACTCATGCTTTACTATCAGTCGAGGCTCGACACGCCCGCCGAGCTCAAAGTACAGAGCTGATATGACAGCATGTGCACAAAACACTGGTCCGCGCGGTCCGCCTCCATGTTGCTGAAGCTGAAGCGGCACAGGTCGCCCGAGCGTGTTGAGATGCCGCTCAAAGGATGCTTGGGCACACGCTCCACGGGGAAGGCCGCAACGAACTGCGTGTTCCCGAACAGGTTGTCCCGGATGCGCATGTTGCGCAGCTTCGAGTCGTACGTGCCCGCCAGAATCTCGAGAAAGTGATGCCATTCGGCCGTCCTAGGATATTGGAGAGCGCCCAGTTGCAGCTGGCCCTTGAGGTTCCGGTTCGCGTTCGCTCCAGGGTACTCGAAATTGTCCACGTGGTCCTCCGTGGTCTTGTTGAACGTCACGAAAGCGCCTAACATTTTGGTGAATGCACGACTAACGACGATGTTGTAGCTGGTGGACCCTGCGGGGATGCTCGACAGCTGCGTGTGGATGGTCGGGAAGCTGAAAACCAGGCTGCGGCCGCTGGTCATGATTCTCTGGAAGCTCTCCCGAAGAGCCGAGTCGAGGGTAACTTGAGAGGCGTAAAGCTTCACGTTCTCGATGGTGTAGTCCTGGCTCCCGCTGACGTTGCGGGCCCCGTCCGTGGGGTCGCAGAAGGTGATTTGAAGCACGAGATTGAGCTCGGGAGGCAACATTTTGCCGCAATTCAGGATGCCGATGAGGTGCGGGCTCATGAGCACGGTGCGGGAGCCCGAGGCCGGGATGGGTGCGGCGTGGCCCCCGCCGTCCGCCAGGAAGCCCTGGATGTGCCGGTTCAGCCACCACTCCTCGTTCTTCAGGAGGCCATACATGTACGAGCAGCGGTTGTAGTAGGAGATGTCCTCTATGCGAGTTCCATTAGCGAACACTGAGAAAAACACTTCTGACGCTCCAGAGGAACGGTGGGGCGTGCCCCAAGAGGGCATCTCGCCTTGCCCCTTTTTCCACGGGCCGGAACTTTGGGCCGTTTGCCGCAAAAGGGCAGCAGGCAAGGTGGCTGGCGTGTGGAGGTCGGCAGGGACCGCATTGAGACCACAAGTCTTTTGTTCCAACAACTCCGTGACGAAGTGGTAATTGGGCCGCGATCCTCCAGCGGGCTGTCTGTGGTCGCCAATCATGACATCGAGTGCATGCTTGATGTGCGCCAAGATGGTGTTGGAACCCGGTGTGCCCAATTGCTGGGCTTCATCTCGGAGGAGCAACTCAACATCCTTTAAACGGTTAATGAGCTGCGAGTAGGGAAAGCTAAGCCTTGCCACAATCGTACCATGCGTCGTGGCTACAAGTAGCCCCCGGTACAAATCGTGCACATCAAAGGGGAGCTTATGCGTGTCCTTCTCCTTGTTACCCGGTATGCGAACGATGCGGCTGCGAACAAATTCATTGCTAGCAGTCGTGAGCCTATCAACCGCTTCGACATAGGCACGAACCGATTCATTGCCATGAGCGGTGTACAGGGTGAGCCGGTTCGTCAGGCACGCAAGAAGAACTCCTAGAAACGCGCAGGATCGTGTCTTCCCGCTGCCAGGCGCCCCCGTTATGAATACAGAAGTACGATTAGCGGCCAAGCCGTACGAGCACGCTCCCAGCAGCGCTGCCAGGTGTCCATCCGCCCCCCAAAAGGTATCACAGAGGCACGTAAGGAAGGCGGGACCAACTGCGAGCGCAAAGATGCTGGCGCGAGTCCTCGGATCGTGCTCGTTGCTCAACGAGTCCTGTGACATGCGTAGACGCTCCGCATGCCAGAGCGCAGGAGTCCGGGCGTCCTCCTGGCCGGGCAGCGGAGAGTCAGGCAGCGTGGCTAACACGCCACTCAGCAGCGTCGGCGTCCATTCTGTGCGATAGGTTTGTTCCTCCGCAAGCCAAAGGTTAAGGATGCTTTGCAAGGTGTTGGAAGCCCCCGGACCCGCAGTAGGCGATGCCTGCGCAGCTTGCGTGGCGTGCTTGCCTCTGAAGACTTGGCAGACCTCCGGGTGAATGAGCTGTGCCCATGTGTCGTGCCAGTTCCCTCTCACCACCAGCCCGATAATGAGGACAAGCACTAGATCCGTGAGAAAGCCCGGCAACCAATGTGGCTGCCGGATGGCATCAAGAGGCGAGTCTTCTAGCGGAACGCCCAAGGCAACATGTTGCCTTTCCCTAGGGATGTGTAACAGGGCATCCCAAAGCGGGGTAGAGGCTCCTCCGGGCAGAACTTCAAGCTGGCTGACTCTCGGCAATGAGGGTCGCTGCGCGAATTGGTTGTGCTGTTCATCAGTCAAGAGCAGGGCAATGGTGATATTGACTGGCTGCATGGCCTTACTTTCGCCAGGGCCGGTGGAAAGCTTCTTCGGGGCAAGGAGCTCTATAAACATGCCTGGGTAGGCCACATCTCCCTTGTCTTCTCTCAAGGTAACCAGCAAAGCAGTGCCCTTGGCCGGCACTTTACCAGCGACAGCAAACCACTTTGTAGCCCAGTCAGGGACATCCGCCAACTCCGGTGTAAGGAGCATGACCGACGCTCGTGGGTAAACTCGATGGAGAAGGCAGATTGGCCACGTATGCGTGCCGGGCTTTATCGCCACAGGGGTGGCGGCCCGCTTGACCGCAGCTTGCTCTGGGTAGTGATACTGTTCCGAGGGCTCCTCCTCGATTTCTGCTTCCGAGGCCATGGCTAAAAACTGATAACCCAGCATGTCAACCAGGCGTTCTAACGACAGGTGGGGGAGCCACATACCCAAAACAAGCTTCATCGTGGGACCAAGTTCATGATACGGGGGCGGCAAATCAGCCAGATGCGGCTTGGCATCCGTTAGGAGGACTTGGGTACAGTCAGCACGGAGACTGGCAATGCTCCGGTTCTCAGTGGAAGGTATCCGGAGAAACGCCTCCAGATCGGGGCGTTTGATTTGCCGTCCCAGCACGGAGTTGATGAAAGTTTTAGACTTATCCGAAAGCTGGACAGAGCCACACGCAACCCCCATCAAACCTGCCCGCACTGTGCGATCCATCCGGGGGTCGGCCAGGCCACAAATCTTTTTAGTCAATTCCTTATGCACATAGGACAAAGTGACCATAAGAGTGTCCACCACTGCCAAGCGACTCAGGTCCAGTGAAGTAGTAGAGACGCGCTCCCGCGCCAATCGCTTGCATCCTTGCTGCCTGGCTGGGCCGGAAGATACAAAGCTGGTCGCTCTCATGATGGACAAGACTAACAGCGTGCCGCAATTCCGAACCCAGGATATATTGCAGCATGGCCCGTGGCATGGCAATGCCGCCCACAAAATCGCCCTTGCAGTCAGGAAGCTTTTGGCGCTCATGCCAAGCGATAGCCACAGCAGCGCCCGTATACGACCCAGCAGAGAAACCCGTAACGCACAGTTTGCACTCGCCAGCTCTCCCCGCGGCGAGGCCCACATGTAGGTCCGGCAGGTTGCCACACTTGCGGCATGTTTTTTTCGAGAGGATTTTTTTTCTACAGGCATGACATACAAGGAACACTGACAGCTCAACTGCAGGCTTGACATGTACCTACTTCAACTTACTACTTGAGGCAACATGGGTTTCGAGTTCCTTCGGGAAATAAAGGAGAAGTGGGTGAACAAACTAGGGCTGTTGGTGCCTTGTGGATTGCGATAGTGCTCAAGCACGATGTTTTCATGGTCCAAGCTGCGTGCACCGAGATCCTGGTATGTACACATGCACCGCTCAGCCCCTGAGCAGCTTCTCGCATGCGCCCCCGAGCCCCTATGTTTCAGCGTCAGCTGCTGACTCCCCGGAAGGTGTGAGGACCAATTATTGCAGAACACGTCCTAGATTTATTCTAAGCAGTAAGAAACCCAACCACGTAACCAAAGCTCAGGACTGAACACCTCCCAAAACCTCCCCCAGTGCAACACTGACAGAGGGCTCAGGCGAAGAGCGACAAGGCGGCCTCCTGGGCCTCTGCTTGCGCAGACACCGAAGCCTTCTTGACAGCAGCCTTTTTGGGCGCTGCCGGCGCCTTAGGAACAGCCTTCCTCTTGCCCTTCAAAGATTTCATGATGTGCTCGATCTTGCACTGAGCCTTCTGTCGCTGGTCCTCGGTTAGCATGTGACCCCACAGCACGAACGGCTCCATGTGCTGCAAGCCCAAGTTCTCCACGGCCTCCGACTCAACAGCCTGCCACTTCTGAAGCAACGCCGCTTTGCCCACAGTGACTGTGGCACCGTCCGGAATGATGAGAAGCCCGTTGTTGTGGTACTTTGTCTCGAGCTCGCCAAGGTGGACAATGAAATAGCTGCAGGAGTTCCATACCTCTTTGAGGAAGTCGGACGAGTTCATGTCCATGTTCACCGCTGTGCCGTGCACAAGACGATCCAGCATTGCATGCGCTGCGTAGATGACTCCCTGCGCACCCTCGGAGGCATAGCGGTAAAGGTCGGACGCCATGAGCTCATTGCTGTTTTGGACCGCTTTCTTGAGCGACAACAGCCTATCCTTGGAAGGCAGGCACTCGTTGATGTAGATGGTCTGGAGCTTCTTGAGGCCACCTTCTCCAGCAAGATGTGTCACAAAGGCTAAGTCGATCCAAACATGCTTGTCCAGTGCCGTTAAGCGTGCTCGTGATGCCTCCAAAACTTCCTCAAGGGACATGTCAGCAACATGGCGAGCCTAAACCCTAAACCCTCAACCCTAAACCCCAAACCCTTAACCCTAAACCGGAAACCCTAAACCCTAAACGGTGGCCCTGCAACTATTTGGGATTGGGCAGGGCTTAGGAAGTAGCACACAAGCCTTCCTCTCAGCTCGGACGCACAAACAGAAACACACCCATACGCACCTTGAGATTGCAGGGTTTCTTCTTGGGTTCAGGGTGCCGGGCCCAGGGATTCGAATGGGTTTAGGGGTTAAGGGGTTAGGTTTGAGGGTTCAGGGTCTGGGGCTTTAGGCTCTGGGTTTGCATGGGTTCAGGGTACAGGGTTTAGGGCAGGCCTTCAAAGCTTCTCCATTCTTGCAGTCGTCTGCCTTCGCCAAGCCCAGCGCCATGTTTCGTGAGGCCTTTGCGTGTTTGAGCAAGCTCGCATCGATCTTGGTGCCCGCATGGCCAGGGGATCCCTCGCATAGCTGCTTCTCTGCTGGCAAGCAGGGGATGCTGCCTGCAGAAGCAGCAGCCGAACGCAAAGCTGCCTGCAGCGCGCAATCGAAATGCTCCGCGACACAGGAAACCTTGGCAGTGATGCCACATCCTCTGTAGAAGATTGTCACCTGCCTCCGGTCCTTGAGGGCCTCCGTCTCCGCCACTTTGCTGAGCTCGAGCATGGCCGTGTTGCGAACTTCAGCAAGCACAGACTGCGTGATTGCGCCCCTGCTCATTGCCTTCTCCACGTGGGACTCCACAAGCTTGTCGATGCGAAGACCCGCCACTTGCTTGGAGGCGAAACCGAAGAGCTGCATGCCAAGCGAGGAACTGGATGTTATCTCCGCCAGCTCCTCTCCCACATCCATCCACGACCCGTCGAGGCCGAGAGAGAGGACCTTCTGCGTTGCAGCCTTGGGGAGCACCAGGGGCCACACGTCTTCATGGTTTGCGAGCCACTCCGCAGGCCCCAAGCCAGCCTTTGCGTAGGAGAGGAACGCCTGACCGAAGCAGGGGAAGCTCAACAAGGACTGCGGACTAGACTTGCGGGCAAAACTTGCAAGTTGCAGTGTCCGGGCGTTCAAGGTGCAGGTGAGAATGCCACATGTTCTCAAGCCGACATCAGGTAGATCAAGAAACAAAAAAAAAGCGCCACTTTGTTACGGTCCCGTTGCTGTCCAAAAAAAAGCAGGCAACACACAACATGACGGCCATGAACACGAACAACTTGTCGTAAGTCGATACTGCGAAACGCTCTTGGGTCTAGAGCTTCAGGGCCCAGAGCCCGTGCACCACAACCAGCTATAGCCTACAGACGAAGCCCCGGAGCCCTAGCCTGCAAGAGGATTTCGTCGAACTTGCTGTACATCAAGGCGATCTCCTCTGGCACAGACGCTTGAAGCTGGAGACGTGCAACACAGGCCACCACGCTCTGGCAAGCTTGGAGCTGATCCGCACTGCCGGAAGGGTGCAAGGTCAAAGTCCAGCGCAGGACCCCGCATACCTCAGCCTGGTTCAGGCTGAGAGCCCGCTCCAAGAACTGCACCATGGGACCTCGGTTGGGGGGGTGGCGCATTGCAGCCGTAGCTGCCTGCACCAAAGCCGGCTGGACTTCCAAGGAAGTGTCTGGCCGAAGCTTTGCCTGCACACTGTTCCTGTCGGTGTACATGGAACGGAGCTTGGCATAGTAGTGCTTGCCAAAGTGAACACTGCCTTCGCAGGCAGCAGCCTGCGTCTTGTCTCGCTTGAGCCTCTGTCTCAAGGTGAGACCCTCCACCACCAGGCCATCGAGCTCGGACGCGGACATGGAACGCAGGTTGTCTGTGATGGCTTTGCGAACTTGACTGTCGATGTTGATGGGCCTCTTCGGACGTGGTTGCTTGACGCTCTCCTTGTCGGAGTGCCAAGCTGCTGCGAGCAACGAGGGGGCCCGCGGAGGAGTGCGCGATCTGGAAGCCACCGACATGGCGAGAGCCTACGAAGCACGGTTACAGGGGCTGCTAAGTCTGCTACACTCGGGGCACACACTAGGGAGGCTGCGCAGCAGAGTGAGAGCGCAAGGGAGGACGTGCAAACACACGTGCAGCGAGCATGCCACTCTCTTTGCGTCAGAGCGCCTGGATTCAAACATCAGACGCACGCAGCAGCTGCGACCCTTAGCCCTGTAGGCCGTAAACCTCGACCTCTATAACCCTAAACCCGAGACCCCTAAGCCTGAACCCCAAACCCGGACTGCGACAGATCTCGCAAAAGCATCCCTGGCTGACTGGCGGACATGGGCACCTACAGCTATAACAAGTGTGTGCGGGTCAGAGCTTGAACAACTACACTGGCAGCTTGCAACATCGGTCGGCGCGGCGTTCTTGAACAGATCTTACCCAGAAAAACTACGGGGGGGGGGGGGGGTTCTGGCTCGGAGGGGGCCAGGGCGGCGGAGGCGTGAGCCATTAAAATGCCACGGCAAACAAGCGCGGATGGCGCGGCGGAGTCGGCGGCGGAGAACGCGGCGAGTTTTTCCCCCCAGTGTCACTGCCCACGCCCAAAAATCCACCTCGAATCTCACCCTCACCACTGTCTTCCCCCACCAAGCCACACTCTCCCCCCCTCCTCCCGACCCGGATGTAGCCTTGCACCACCCCCAAGGCGGCGACACTCGCAGCATTTCCCAAGCATACGGAGCAGCAGCAAACAGCAACACATCGTTTTTCGCGGAAGCAGATGCTTTCGGAGCAAGTGCCAGAATCTTCTTGAGTCGCTGTTGCACTCGCCCTGTTGCACCCGCGAGTGACGCCTCCAGATCAGGCGTGAGCACGTAGCCGAGCAACTTCTCTTCAGGAATCCCATTCACAGGTCTGCCAAGGTCCTCCCACACTTGCGTCAGGAAGGACAGGCGATGTATAAAGACTTTGCCGAGAGCCTGGCCATACTCGTCACCATAAACGGATTGCTCGAAGCTAGCCGACTTGTTGAGAGAATATGTGGAGCAGAGATCAGCCACAGCCGAGCCGGCCTTGACATCTACCCGCACTCCATAGACCAGCCTGCCAGTGCGCCGAAGCTGCCAATCACCCCCGAGCAGGCTGGTGCGAAATTGGTCGGCCAGCGTATCGAAAGCAGCGTGCACAGCACAACGCTGATCCTCCAGGTCCTCAAAGAGGCTGTTGTAAGCCTCGTCCTCGGCAGCAGCGGCCTTGTCAACAGCCTCACACTCATCCACAGGAGACTCGAGGGACGATTGTCCAGGAACCTCAGGCGCAGTGTCAGAAGGTGCACGCTTTCTCTTGGACGCCGTTGCAGCCGTAAAGCCTCGCAGCCAGGGATACTGCGCAGCCAGATCGGCGTCCGGCTCCGGCGGGGCAGGCTCCCGAGCCGGCTTCGGAACACGCTCCTGGGCACCCTTCTCGGAAGCAGCCGCGTCCAATATCAGGTCAAGGGGCTGCAGAACATCACGACTGCAGAGGCGGCCTTCCGAGGCGAACCAGCTGTGCATGAAGACCCCAATCTCGACGTTGTCGGGCACCAGGAAGACCTCGGAGGAAGCAAAACACCCAGGCAAGACCGACCACTGCCAGGGCACTGCATGGCGCCACTGCTCATCCAAGCAGGCGGCACTGTGAACTAGCGTCGGCTGAGCACATTCCAGGTCGCACAGCTCCAGCAGAAAGAGCTTGACTGGGTTGAGCATAGCAAACAAGAACCGATAGAACCTGGCAGCGTCCGGGTGCTGAATGCAAAAGACTGCCTGAACAAAGTGGCCTCTCATCTGGCAGATGCGACGTGCCATGGGAGGCATGTCATCAGAACTAGTCCGGTCGATGAGCGTGCGCTCCACGCACTCCTCGGATTCCTGTTGGGACAGTGGGGCAGGGCATTGCAAAGCGCAGGCACGCTTTCTTGCGACATCGGTCACCGTAAGCTTGGAGTCCTGGACCATGGCTTGCAGCCTCTGAATCTCACCAGCGGCCAAGCGGCACTGTGAAATCAGCATGCTGCTGAAGGCCCCTCCGCTGCCTGCAGCGTCGCTGGTTTCCCGCAGCAAGTGCAGTTGCTGCGTCAGGGTGTCACACTGCTGCTGTCGGGACTGCCTAGCCTGGCTTCTGTCGACAGCAGCCCGTTGCTCCCAGACTTGCTTGGAACTATCAGAGAGCGCTTGCCAGTTCTTCCCATGGATCTTCATGATGGTGGCACGCTGGTACTGGGGCCGATGCGCTTTCGAGGCCTCCCACTCCGTAGCCTTGCGCATGATGTGCGCTAGGTATACCTGCCTTCCAGTGATCCGGTTTGGGTTTTTGTCCAGTGTCCGGATAAGCTTCTGTACAACCTGCTGCCGCCGAAGATCACACGAGGAAGTCGAGGGTAGCATCTGAGCAAAGGTGTGGATGAATGCCCTGGCAGTCAAATGGTCGTCCCCATAGTCTGGATGGCGCTTCTTGATCACGCTGGTAGACCCGTGCTGCTTCTCTGTAAATGCACTGGTCCAGGAGCACTGACCAAGCAGATGCACGGCCTGCAAAAGGCGCGCGCGATTATATCCCATCCGTCCCAAAGTCCAGATTTTGCTGGCCAGGCTGTTGCTGTCAGGCTCATCCCGCTGAAGAAACTCATCCAAATTTGCTTCAGGATCACCTGCGCATAGACGCCATGGAAGGGACGAAGCCACGGACAAGACCCTCCACTCAAGAAAACTCCAGGAAATGAAAGCGCCAGAAATGACACTGGATCTCAGAACTTGCGCTGTCATCTGCAGCGGAGCGGACAGCAAGTCCCAAAGCTTCTGCGGCAAAACATCCAAAAACTGAAACTCATTACACAGGACTTCCCGAAGAGAGGTCTGAGTGCGGGCCACTCGAGAATCCTTGAGAATTTTGGCCAAGAAGCTGTCAGAAACGAAAGAAGACAGTCCCACGACGGCCGCGAATTCCCAAGCTTTGGCATCCAAGCGCTGACAGCCATGCCAGTCATAGTCTCCGATCTTGCCTGCACGGTGCATCCACTTCAGAAACTCCGGGTAGCCAGTCATCAATCCACACAGCAGGCCCCGGCAAGAGCCGCCAACAGTGCACCACCTGGACGTGGTGAAACTTGGAGGCCGCCATATGCTGAGTAAACACGTTGAGATGGCTTGAAGCCAGTTGCTGTCATCCAAAATGCTTTGTGCAACCACCAGCTGCCCATCCAGCCAGAGCAGCTGCATCTGCGAAAGCACCTCCGCAATATCTTGGTCCACACCAAGCGCGCACCACACAACGTACAAGTCTTGCTTTGTAGGCAGCTCTTCCGACAATCGCGGGTGAAGCACAGACACTAACCAGTCAGCCATGAACCTGACCGCGTGGCAGAAGCATGCTCGCATGGCCATCACGCCAACGTAGCAATTCTCTAGCATATTGGAATCATTGAACAACCCTTGGTGCGCCCACTTCAGGCTGTTGTGACCATCATGGGCAGCGCAGCCCGTCCAAGTATGCCACTCAAAAAGGCTTTCGTCCTCAAAACAGGCAGACGCGAGCCCAGATGTTGCTGATGCAAGCGCAGCTTGCTTTGACCACCAGCCCGAAAGGCCTGCAACAAACTCGAACGTCACGGCACGGTCATGGCATTGATGGTGGATAGTAATCACATCTGCCCCAATGCCATTCAATGACAAGCCTGGACAGCGGAGTGCAGCAGACAGCAAAGCCTTCATTGTCTTGCCGTGCTGAAGCGGCAACGGGTCTCGGTAGATTATCGTGTGGCAGTACTCATTGTCGTGCTGAGGGATGCACACGAACACTTGCTGAACAAAGTACTCTGACGTGGTCTTGCAAGAACGCCGCACTTTCATACTCTTATGTTGTTGGTTCAAGTACTTCCTCGATGAGACAGGGGTTGTGTCGCACGAGTACTGGAAAAGGCAGGGCTGCCCCGCGTTGCTCTGGAGAAGACCCACACGTTCTGTGAGAAATATCTTGCAAACCTCAGTGACTTCAAGCAGCTCGCGGAGTTCGTCTCAGGATAAGGTCTGCGAGCAAGCAGCAAAACATTTCAGGCGAGAGACTACGCTAGGGGCACCCACTGATGATCCTGCTTTGGCCATATTTCTGCGGAGATGGCAAGTGTCACAACTACTCCTGCAATCACACTTAGGATGTCCAGTGCACATAGCTTGCACAATGCGCCCTCCTGTTCAACCCAAGCTGCCAGATAATCAGACGCTAGAATTTCTTTCACCATCTTCACTGTGCATGCGCGCCAGCACTACACATGCAGAGCGGTCAGCGCAGCAGTATGTGGCATGTGCAAGTGAGCTAGGGCCGGGCACATTGTCAGGGAGGCTTCTACCGAGCTGATTCTAGCACGAACCGCCGCTGGCAGACCGCATCCTTCGACCTGAGGATACAGAGCACGTGCCCACAGCTGGGCGGCTTGGGGCAGGAGCAGCAGTGCATGTGCGGCATTACCGCTGGTCGAAAGCAACAACGGGCGTTGTGTGTCCTCATATCGGACTTTTTTGCCCTGGTCGTCCCGGACTGTTTCCATTTCTAAGCCAGTGAATGCATAGGAATTGCCTGTGTGAATGATGCTACCCGACACAGTGGAGGGCGTATTCTCGGCTTTCCCATGCATCCCGCTAATGAAGAGCGACCGACATTCCCCTGAGGGGGTTAGGTGAGGCTTTGGGGGCGGGTACTGGTAGGCAGGAAAGGCAAAGGCTGCCAGGGCTTGCTGCACACGCATTGCAAGTCCATCATCCCAGTATTGACTGAGGCCCAGCGGCGTGACCTTTATGTCTGCAGCAAAGAGAGGCCACGGCAGATCCACCTGGGCCAGCCAAGCATGCGCAGCGGCAGCAAGAAGAGCAAGCGGCCCAGTTGGGGTATTGGGTCGACTGCGCCATTTCGGGGTGGCCCTGCAGGAAGATAGGGCATCTTTCTTCCAAAACATGAGGACTCCAGGGAAGAGCTGGAGCCGCACTGGTCCACTGCCCTTTTTCCCAACAGAGGCCCACAGAGGGACGGTGTCCCCGTTGCCCCAGACCGACTCGGGCAGAGTAGGCAGCCGTACCACACTCCCCCACTGCGGCAAGATGTTTTTGCCTTTGGCACCATATCCATGCACAAAAGGAGGGGGTATAACCTCGGCGTATCGGTTCGCCATGAATAAGTCAGGACCAGGTAGGATTGCCAAACGGGAGTGCAAGCCGCCGTAGCCCCTGAGCAAGGGAAGAAATCCCTGTTCATACGGGCCTTGTCCCCATGTTTTGACCCCTCTGACCTGCCTGACTGGGGAGGCGCCAAACTGGATGTCTGGCTCTGGCCGGCCAGTATTAAGGTCGGCCGCTTTCCACGCAACTTCATGTATGTATCTTCCTAAAAGTGCCCACGCAAACACAAAGTCAGAATGCTTGTGAGCAGTGGTTCCGGCAAGAGGGGTGTTGCGTAGACATTGCCGATAATGGATCTGGTCCAACGGCACCTGCTCATGCATACCAGGCAATGGAGTGGGCACTTCACTGGGCATGATGACTAGCTGCAGGGCTCGGCTCAACGCAGTACCAATGGAGGTCACCGCACTAGCGACGTTGCTAGGGATGCAAAAGCGAGGGGGCCGGGGAGTTTTGCCGTCCGGAGCATTCGGGTAGAAGATGACCAATCCCCCATTTGCTTCAAGCTGGTCCTCGGACGCACAAACCATGCCAATTGAGTTTGGCGATCGGGCCCCACACGGTATGGACCCGTCCGGCGAGCAACTCCACGGCGAGGCTGGAAGCGAGCCACAGGGCTGTGTCTCGTCCGTCTCGACTTCCATGCTGCCCAGTGACTCCGTCGAGAGGGTATTGGGCAGTAGATCGAGGACTGCAAACCTTCGCAGCTCTTCTGCTTCCCACCTGGCAGTGAACAAGGTGTCATGGTCAAGCAACATCAAGACCACCCCTGGCGCAAGGACTCTGAGGACTGCCAGAATTTCGGGCCCCGCCCACGTAAAGTGCACAGAAGCTAACCCCGCTTCCTTGGTGTTTACCAAGATGGGAAACCACCTCTCTTTAAACGGGCCTTCCCACTGCATGCGTGCTACCAAATGCCGGACAAAGTAGGGGAAATGCGGAATAGACAAGAAGCAGCGACTGTCCGTGACTAAGAGCAGGACATGGGCTCCTGCGGACTCAGCAGCCCGGAGCTGTGGAAGTAGGCAGCCGAGTAGTGCAGTGTAGTCGATCTCTGGGTGGAGACCTTGCGGCTCAGGCGGTTCGCCGGAAATGGCTCCAGAGGCCAGTCTCAATGGCAGGATGCCGCTAGGGGTGGGCTCAGGGAAATTCTGATTACTTTCTAGTGCCTGCGCGAGGTCCTCAGGCTCCGGAGGCCCCGGCGCATGGTCAGCACTGAGAGTGCGAAGCTGGCATATAGCCTGCATTGCGGTCGCAGCAAGGACCTGTGGACCTGGGTAGCTAGGGACCTGCCACGGTGGCAGGTCGGCTGCAACTGGCGCGGGAGGTGGCCTCCCATGTGGAAGTCGCGGCTCAATCCTACTGACCGCACCCACTGGGTACTCGCCAACACGTGGAGGAATCGGCGGTATGGGAGGGCGAGGACTATTGTTCGGCCAGCAGACCCTAGGTGGATTAGGTGGTGGAGTGTGCCCGGGCCCGGGAGACAGGGCTGTCTCCCTACCCACTCCTTGTTCGGTGACAACACTCGCCCAAGGGGGAAGGTCTATCGCGTCACCAGGCAAAGCACTGTGCGTGGACACCGCTCGCCCCATGAGGGCACTGCTATGCGGCATGGTGCCGATGCCTGGTCTCCATGCATGCAGGAGAAAACAGCGAACCGTGGGTTGCCGAGCGAAGCAGACGGCGTTGCTGTTTCTCAAAAAGGCAGAGTGGTCCAGACACAACAAAGGTTGTATTTCCGGCAGGAAGTATTGGCACCAACCGGCAACATCAAGTTCGTGAGGCAGGATGACGCCGGCTTGCATCTGCCTGGTCATTGCGACATCACTGGTCCCTAAAGTGGCAAGTGCAGTGAGTTGCCCTCTCCTGGCAACGTGAACTTGGAGTGCTTGCGCTCCAACCCGGATCACATACGGTTGACAGGCATACGACTCCATGGCATCACTCACCGAACATGGCAGGCCAAACTCATGTGACTACCACACAGACAGCGGACAACCACGAGGCAACCTTCAGACACCAAGATCCCTGGAAGCCCAAACACCAACAAAGGAGGACACCAAGAAGGGGAGGACCAAACCCCAAGCAGAGCACACAGGAGAGAAGAAACAGAGAGGCGAGAAACAAACAAAAACCAGTCAGGAGCGTAATTACCCTCAACACAAGGGGCACCTCGTTCAGCCAGCCAGCCACCCTGAGCTTGAGCCAAGGCACATCCAACACGCAACCTGAAAAGGAATGCAGCGTGTCGTCGCAGGTGGCTGTTACTTGTGGCTGCAATGTGCTGCATGTACAAAGCAATGACCTGGAGACAATGACATCCTTTACTTTGTCCGTGCACAGTAGTAGCACCAGAATGCAGGCATACCTCGGTTGCTGGTCTGTCTGTAGCGACAACACAAGGCCCGGCGCGCATAAATCGATTAAAATGGAAAAAGGGAGGCACTCTCTACCCTGCCCCAACGACTACTTCGGGAGCTCGAAAGGGTCCGCCAGCAGCCAATCAGGGTCGCTCAGCAAATGCAGGCCACACCACATGCTCCGGGTCCTTGCCGATAACCACCTGGCGGATGGTGAGGCCGGGGGCCCAGGGGTACTGCGTGCGTCCGTAGCCCTTGAAGGCAATAAAGCGCGAGTCTTCGGTAAGGGCTTCTGTGACAGGAGGCACGCGATGATTGCCCCTTACCGAGTAGCACATCCGAAGGTGATGCTGGAAGGTCTCTACGTCCTTTCGTCCGCCATAGACTAAAACTCGTGTCTCCTCGCTCGTGGGGGCTGGCCAAAGAAGGCAGCCTAATGGAGCCCATGCAAACACAAGCCCGGAAGGTATGGGCCTCGGAAATTGCAATCTGGCAGGTGATGGTTCCTCCAGAACCGAGGCCCATGAGATATGGGCAAGGAGATGCGAAGGCTCGCATCACGCTGGACGGCCAACAGGAGCGGTAGAACTTCCATTGTCTACACTGCCTTGGTCCAGGCAGCACTGTCAGGCAACATCCAGGCAGGCGGTGAGCCGGCTTGTCCCGCCACAGGCCATGCGCAGGCAATGACGGCCTTTTGAAGGCCAGGTTGCTCCACAGGTACTCTAAAGGCAGTGGGTGCATGTTCTCCACACAGAAGTGTCCACAACCAGGAGGAGAAGCACTATCGAGTTGGCTTCCCCTGCATCCGCACTCGGCCGGGATACAACAAGGGGAGGGTTGAACTACGGGGCAAGGTAGAGGAAGACTGGGTGAGCCGCGCCGTCCAGCGCAAGAATGTCACACAACAACAAGCTTGCTCCCAACTTTCCCTGACTCAGCTCCCTTCAGTTGGAGACTACAGCAGCGGTGTAACATGATCAAAGGTTACAACTTTCCAAATCGGTCAAGACAACAGCATGACAATACAGGAATGCTGCATGACTGTGGATAACGACCGGTGTGCTGGGCCGCCGTTTGTTCCGCATCCGCACAAGGTCAGCGTCAGGTGTCAGTGTCCGAATGCCGAATTGTCCTCAAGCAAATGCATGGTCTCGTCATCTAAATGCTCGAGAATGTCGGTTGCAACACGTTCATCAAGGAAGCACGCTGACGGCATGATCATTGGGGACAGCATCGGACATCGCCTGCAAAAGCATATGGACTTTATCGGCAGTGAAACGCCATGCAAGCAAAATATGCTGCTCCAAATGCGCT